AATAATAATAATAATAATAATAATAATAATAATAATAATAATAATAATAATAAAGTTGGAAGGGACCTTGGAGGTCATCTAGTCCAACCTCCTGCTCAGGCAGGAAACCCTATACCATTTCGGACAAATGGCTGTCCAGTCTCTTCTTAAAAACTTCCAGTGTTGGAGCATTCACCACTTCTGGAGGCAGGTTGTTCCATTGATTAATTGTTCTTACTGTCAGGAAGTTTCTCCTTAGTTCTAGGTTGCTTCTCTCTTTGGTTAGTTTCCACCTGTTGCTTCTTGTCCTGCCTTCAGGCGCTTTGGAGAATAGCTTGACTCCCTCTTCTTTGCAGCAGCCCCTGAGATATTGGAACACTGCTATCATGTCCCCCCTCGTCCTTCTCTTCATTAGACTAGACATACCCAATTCCAGCAACCGTTCCTTGTATGTTTTAGCCTCCAGTCCCCTGATCATCTTTGTTGCTCTTCTCTGTACTCTTTCTAGAGTCTCAGCATCTTTTTTACATCGTGGTGACCAAAACTGGATGCAGTATTCCAAGTGTGGCCTTACCAAGGCATTGTAAAGTGGTATTAATACTTCACGTGATCTTGATTCTATCCCTCTGTTAATTCAGCCTAGCACTGTGTTGGCTTTTTTGGCAGCTGCAGCACACTGCTGGCTTATATTTAAATGATTGTCCACTAGGACTCCGAGATCCCTCTCACAGTTACTATTATTGAGCAAGGTGCCACCTATGCTGTACTTGTGCATTTGGTTTTTCTTGCCTAAATGTAGAACCTTACTTTTTTCACCATTGAATTTCATTTTGTTGGATAGCGCCCAGTGTTCAAGTCTGTCCTTCTGACTTTGCTTGTCAGAAGGTCACAAAAGGGGATCACACAACCCCTGGACAGTGTAACTGTCATAAATACATGCCAATTGCCAAGCATCCGAATTGTGATCACGTGACCAGGGGAATGCTGCAATGGTTGTGTGAAAAACAGTCCACTTTTTTCAACGCCGTTGTAACTTTAAACGGTCATTAAACGAATTGGCTGTATTTCGAGGACCACCTGTATATTAGAAGCAGAAACAGTGATGGCTCCGTAACCGCCTGACCATATCTACACTTGGTTATCCCCAGCTTTCTGGGTCAGCCATGATTTACACCTTTATAAAGGAATCGCGATACAGTCTCACATCAAACTTAACCCCCCCACACTTCCTGCCTCCCAAAATGGATGATGTTTTTAGAAAGCGCCTTCAAAGTTATGAAAAGAGCCTCCTCTTACTGACCTGTGATGGCATCAACTGAAACAGGGCCCAAACGCTTGCGACCGGAGACACCGTAGAGATTAAATCTATATCTTCGGCCAGGAACCAGGTTGGGGAGGAGGACTTCGTAAGAGTTCCCTTCCACGGGGACGGCTTGGGGCTTGCCATCCACGTCCTTGTACTGGATCATAAAAGAGTCAAAATTTCCAGCGTGGACAGTCCAGGAGAGAAGTGCAGAATTGTGGGTAAGGTTGGAAACAGAAAGCTCTCCCAAGCTGGGCTGAACCGGTGGTGTTGTGGCTAATGGGGCTGAAAAAGAAAGAAGAAACAAAGGAGTGAGGACAATCAACCAGGCCGCAGGGGTGGGCAACCTTGGCTCTTTTATGACTCGTGGACTTCAACTCCCAGAATTCCTGAGCCAGCCATGCTGAGGGGAAAGAGAGAGGTTTCCAAGCTGAGCCATGCTGGCTCAGGAATTCTGGAAGTTGAAGTCCACCAGTCATAAAAGAGCCAAGGTTGCCTACCCCTGAACCAGGGGAATGGCTTTGCCTTCAGAAGTTGTGGGTGTTCCATCACTGGAGGTTTTTAAGAAGAGACTGGACAGCCACTTTTCTGAAATAGTATACAGTCTCCTGTTTGAGCAAGGGGGGGTTGAGTATAGAAGACCTCCAAGGTCCCTCCCAGCTCTATTTTGATACTGAGGATAAAGATACAACTGAACGGAAGAATTCACGGAAACAAAGTATTCCACGGCTGTTACTAAATAAGATAGTTAAAGGTACTCCTTGTCGTATGGCCACAATTGAGCCGGAAGGAAGGATTATTCTTCTACCTGGAGTCTTGTTCCCACCACACTGTGGAAAACTTTAGTCCTACTTAGAGTAAATTCGGCTCACGTTGTTTAGGAGATACTGGGACTGTGACAATGGGGCTTGTCACAGGTTGAGTTTCTAAAGCCTTAGATCAGGGGTAGGCAACCTTGGCTCTTTTATGACTCATGGACTTCAACTCCCAGAATTCCTGAGCCAGCATGGCTCAGCTTGGAAACCTCTTCCTTTCCCCTCAGCATGGCTGGCTCAGGAATTCTGGGAGTTGAAGTCCACCAGTCATAAAAGAGCCCAGGTTGCCTACCCCTACCTTAGATTCTTCGCTGTTGCTAGAACTGCTTTCTCAAATCACAGATAGTCCTCGACTTACAGTCACAACTGAGCCCAGCATTTCTGTTGCTAAGCGAGACAGTTGTTAAGGGAATTTTGCCCCATTTTACGACCTTTCAGGCCACAATTGTTAAGTGAATCATTACAGTTGTTAAGCTAGTTACACGGCTGTTAAGTGAATCTGACTTCCCCATGGACTTTGCTTGTCAGAAGGACACAAAAGGAGATCACATGAATACACACACACACACACGGGACACTGCAGCCGTCATAAATATGAACCACTTGCCAAGCATCTGAATTTTCATCCTGAGACCCTGGGGATACCGCAACGGTCATAAGTGTGAAAAATGGTCATAATAATAAGGGTCTGGATGGGGTCTGGATGGGGAGGAACAGACTCAGACTCAACCCTTCCAAGACCGAGTGGCTGTGGATGCCAGCGCCTCGGCATAGTCAGCTGATTCCATCGCTGACTATAGGGGGTGAAATCTTGGCCCCCTCAGAGAGGGCACGCAACTTGGGAGTCCTCCTGGATTCACGGCTGACATTGGAAGATCACTTGTCGGCCGTGACCAGGGGGGCGTTTTATCAGGTTCGCCTGATACACCAGTTGCGGCCTTTTCTGGACCGGGACGCCTTGCGCACAGTCACTCAGGCTCTCGTCACCTCTCGCCTGGACTACT